ATTATTTCTTCATTTATTATTTCTTCATTTATTATTTCTTCATTTGTTATTCCATCATTCATTAATTCTTCATCTATTATTTCTTCTTTAATTATGATTTCATTTATTATTTCTTCATTAATGATTTCTTCATTTAATACTTCTTCATTTATTTGTTCTTCGTTCATTAAACCTTCTTTTATCATTCTATCATTTCTTATTACTTCATTAAATATATCTTGACCTACAACTTCTTCATATATCATATCTCCATATAAGTATTCAGAATCTTCTTCAATCATTTCTTCTTTAACTATTACTCTCGCTAGTATATCTTGAGGATTATAAGTTTTCATTTTTTCTGACACTGTTTTATTGAACTCTGACAACTTTTCCTTAATCTTCATCTTCTGTTCTTCAATTTCATCGAGATGTTTTTGTTTTCTTATTTGGTCTTCTTCTTTTTTCTTTCTTTCATCATCTTCTCTTTTCTTTTTTTCGTATAACTCATATTGTAGTTTCTTTTCAAGTTCTCTTTTCTTTCTATCTTCTTCTTTTTTCTTCCTTTCGTCTTCTTTTTTCTTTCTTTCATCATTTTCTTTTTTCTTTCTTTTATTGTCTTCTTGTAWTTTTCTTTCGTATTCTTTTTCCTTTCTTTCGTCTTCTTTTTTTTTTCTTTCTTCAATTTCTTTAGTTTCTTTTATCATCCTTTCAGTTTCTTTCATTAATTTTTCATTGGAAATTTTAATTGTTATTTCTTGTGGTTGAATTACTTCAACTTCGTTCAATTCATTTTCATCTCTTTTATTAACAGAATTTGTAATAAACGTCATATCAAAATTATGATCATTATATTCCTGAGTGATTCCTTCTTTAATTGTTGGTTTTTTGTTACGGGCTCTATCGGTCTTACATGGTGCCATTTCAATATGTAGGGGTTTAATGGCGTTAGTTCCATGTTTCATGTTAACACCTTTGATAATTTTAGCTTCTATTTCATGTGTTTTTGTCGACTCATCTCCCATAAATTTATAGGATTCCATTTTTTTTTCTTGTGTTTGAATTGGCTTGAAATTTAAGGGATGTTTTTTTGGAAAATCCATGGTAAATTCTTCATCACTGCTTATTTCAACAATATCAGGATTAGATAAATTATGTGGGCTGTTTGATTTATGAGATACAACACTATCTGAATTAATTTGACTCATAACATCTGATATTACACCCTGTAAAATAGGTATTCCAGTGACTGATGGCGTAGAGGTTTGATCATCATATATTTCTTCAGACTGACAAAAACTCTCTTTTAAATGTTTTACTCCACGGTTTGTATTCTTTGATTCCTTGGTATCAAATTTCACGTCTTTAGTGGTATATGACTTTTTTCGTACTCTAGTGATCTGGGCAAAGGTATCAAATGCTCCAATAGTTGAATCACTTTCACTTACGGAAGAATCACCTTGATCCACACTAACTGWRTGTTCTTCACTTTCATTACTATCTAATGAACCACATTCAATCAATGAATTTAATTCTTCATTATCAAAAGAGTGCATTTCAACAATTTCTTCAACACCATTATATAATTCAGACAAAGATGTTTGAGATATCGATTGATCTAAATCAAAATCTAATTCTTTAATGAAACGATTGTTAGACTCATTTATGTTACAGTTGGTTCTACTTTTAGATACACTATCTTGATGAATCTGTTTTTTTAAAGGATCTGAAATATTTAGAGTTTTCGCAAACATATCCCAAGCAGTTTTATCACTTTTATTTTTTTTTTCATCTGATTGCAGTAGAGTTGTTGATTTTGGAATACTTGAAACAGTTAGAGGCAAGATTTTTGAATTAGCTTTACTTGATAATTCTTTAGTTTTTGCTGCTGTCATATTATCTTCATTAATATTTATATCATCATCGATTACAATAATTTCATCAGAAGCTAATGAACAACTATTATCAATTGATTTAACTATAATCTGAGAGTTAGTATTTAATCTAATTGTTTTTTGAACATCAGTGTTTGAATCTTGAATATTATCGGTTTTATTTTTCTGCTCTGAAAGACGTTGAATGTTAAATGGTTTTTTGATTTTATTAACTACTACAATAGGTTGGTTGTTATAAGACAAAAATGATGAATCATTTATATTATCAAAACACCGTATATTTGATGATTTTACTCCAAATACTCCTCTTTGTTTTAATAATTTACTATCATTTGTAGACAATGTATTTTGCAATGAATGGCTATCTTTGCGTATCATAATAGCATCCTTACAAGCTTTTGTGTCTACAGGAATCAGACATTCAGATGTATTATCAGTGTTATTGGGAAGGCCCAACAAGCATTTATACTCTGGAGCTAAAGTATTTGAAGTGGAATTTACAACAAAATTAGCTGATATTTCCTCCAACATTTTATTACTTATTTCTTTACTATTAACTTTCTTATTCGTCAATAAATTATCTCCTGAACTTGATAGACGAAGTCTTTGCATGGAAGATCGCGTCATTTTACAAGGAGTTTGAGTTCGTATTTCATCTTGTACGGTCGATAATGGTTCAACATCAATTTGGTCTATATCAATCAGATCATCAACAATTAAATGAGATTCATTTACATGAGATCCATCACTTTGCAAGCTTTCACGTTCTTTCTTTCCATCAGACAGTTTAGTATCATTCAATTGTTTGAAACCTCCTTCTGCTCTAGTTTGACTTCTTGTTGCTCTAGGTTCAAGTCTACTACTTGTATCTTTTTTATCTCCAGACAAACTTTTAAGACTAGCGTTTTTAGTTTCTTCTTCGCTGTCATCACTTAATAGATCAACAAAACCGGCATTTGCTTTTGATCCATTTTTAACTGCTGAAACTGGGCTCTTAGATATCTGTCTCTTCGAAGCTGATAAATCAGATTTATTGATTTGATTATAAGATCCAAGGGTTGTCATATTATCTACTCGTACTCTATTTAATGATGTTGACTGCGAGTTCTCCTAAAAAAATTCATATGTTAATTTTTATCTATATTTAATTAAATGAGAACATTAAGGCAATTGAAAGCGGCAAGATTTTTCATGCATTTCATTCATATTGTAAAAGAAAAATTAACAATTTAAAAAAAATATTGAAATTGTAAGCTTATATTTTTATTCAGTAGCAAGTGATAAGGAGGGATATTCAGGCAATTTATGTGTACATAAAAGAAGTGTCGACCGTGTTTGAGTAGGTAGTAAATTAAAACTCTAGCAAGCACACACACATTTCAAAACGTGGGGGGAAATGAAATAAATGTTTGTTTGCATCATTAGAGAACTAAAAGTGGAAGAAATTATACTTTCTATAGTTTGATTGTAATATCAAAAAAATTATTCAATGCACATATTTATAAATTAGGCTATTTATAAATTACTTTTTCTGTTTAGGATCTGCTATGACCGAAATAAACAAAATTATTTCATAGAATTTCAAAATGCTTAAGATCTTAATATTAAAATTTTTTAATATTGATAATCAACTCCTAAATATATCCTAAATATTTTGTCTAATATCAAAAAATCTATGCAATTTAGCAGCGCTATTGGTCGAAAAGGTATGAAAAATATGTGTACTTCAATTCATTCAATTTATTTATAAACAAAAAAGTAGTTATTAGACAATAAAATATGTAAAATTGTAAACAAAATAAAACATCGAATATTTCTTAAAAAATCTAGAGTACAGGAATAAGAATATTTTTATAATTTAAATTTGGATATGAGCGAGTGACTTTTCCTTCCACTTTTAATATCTCCCACAGTTGTTTCAGAGTACAAATAAATTATTCAAACACATATAGTTTGACAAGACGTAACCTTATGCATATGCATTAACGCAATACAAAAATATTAAGTTTCTTAATGATCAATTATATTATCACTTATATGATGAGTAGAAGTCATGCAAACTAAGGATTATTTACAAAGCACTAACTTACACTACAGCACGCTCACATACACATTGACTATATCAACTCCTTTAAAAAGACCCGTTCATAACATCTTAAAATGTATTTATTATTTAAAATAAAGAAAAACGCCACATACAAAATATATTGTTAACTATTATAAAGATGAGAGTTTAAATTTAAATGCTTTTAAATTAATATTGCATTGTACAATTTTTAAGTC